CTGCCAGCGAGCTACCGATAGCTGTGAACCAAGCTACCAGTAGTTGAGCCCACTGCCTGCAAGCTACCAATAGCTTGTGAAATGAGCTGCCATTACCTGTCCACTGCAATTGTGCTACTGGTAGCTATTCAACATGCTACCGGTAGCAGAACCTAGTTTTCTCCCAATTTAATCTTGTTTTCAATTTCAACTCACCCAATCTTATACAACATTTATCCAAACTCACATAACATCAAATTTTAGAAAAAATATAGTTCATATGAGTTCATTGTACAATAATTTATACAACATCAAAAGTCCAAAATTTAAAGCCACAACTCAGTTTTCTTCATCAACAAGAGCTCAAGTGAGAGCCGTCCATCGACGCTTGTCCTGGACCTGAAATATTGTTCCCATAAAGGGTGAGCCATACTAACCCAAATGCATATGAAATGTTCACATGTAATTCAACAATCAAACAAGCATTCATCCAAGAATATACAATTCATAATGGAATTCACAATGCAATGTCATGTTATGAGACGAGACTCACACATAAAATGCAACTGGAGCCTTCATCGACTCTCATAATACATGCAATGCCATGCGTATGTACCTGGGCATTTCAAGCCCCTGCCATTGATGTTACACATCCAATGACTATTTTATAAAATAACCCATGTGTCTTTCTTGGGTAGGTGATTTCCTGGACTTGCACCAATGGTCTACCACACCGATAGGGATTTTGGTATCTCACCTCCGGTTCTACGTACACCACTACACTTTTTTGGACTTTCACTATCGAAAGTGTATAAACTTGACGTGAACCCCAATCAACTTGCTTTGAGACTCAGCAAGAATATTAGAAAAACGACCCAAGAAAGCCAAACTCAAGCCTATGGATGGAGAATCTGGACCTGTGGAGAACTCGTTTCAAGAACCTAGATTATATTAAAATCTAGATCCATTGAAGAACCCGTCTCAAGAACCCAAATTACAATGAGGAATACCACAAAGGTTGTGATTTTCTTTTGATAAGTTCAATCAAGAACAAAAGGAGTAAACTCAACTCACAATTGAAATTCAATATTGTCTAACCTCTTGAAGTTACCGGTTACATCCTTTAAATACCCTTCCCAAAACATGATAAAATCCTAGACTAAAATTTGTGACCCTTTCTCTCAAAAATGCCCTTGACTGAATAGTATTGTGAGTACTGTAGTGTGAATAGTGTTGCGCTATAGTAACTTTTAAAACCCTAGTTCAAATAAAATAATAAGACATATGTGGGCAAAGCATCCTCAAGCCCACTAATAAAATATTAACTACTTCAGTTTGACCATCAGTCTGCGGATGACAAGTAGTGGAAAATAAGAGCTTAGTACCCAATTTCCCCCACAACACCTTCCAAAAGTAGCTAAGGAATTTAACATCCCAATCACAAACACTACTCCTGGGCACACCATGGAGTCGCACTATCTCCCCGAAAAACAAGTCAGCTATGTTTGTGGCATCATCTGTTTTATGGCATGGAATGAAATGTGTCATCTTACTAAACCTATCCACAACCACAAAAATAGAATCTCTACCCCTTTTTGTCGTAGGCAGCCCCAAAACAAAGTCCATAGATATGTCAACCCATGGCTCACTAGAAACGGGTAAGGGTGTATACAACCCATGTGGCAAAACTTTAGATTTGGCCTTTCTACATGTAATGCACCTACCACAAATGCGATTGACATCTCTCTTCATCTTAGGCCAAAAGAAATATCCATGCAAAATGTCTAAATTTTTCTTGACACCAAAGTGTCCCATTAATCTCCCACCATGTGCCTCACACACCAATAACTCACGCATTGAACAACTTGGCACACAAAGTTTGCTTTCTTTAAACAAGTAACCATCATGCTTGTAAAACTTACCAAATGCCTCCTTATCACATGCCATGTACATATTAGAAAAGTTAGCATCATTGGCATACAGGTCTTTCACATATTCAAACCCAAGCATTTTAGCACTCATAGAAGTAAGAAGTACATACCTCTAAGATAAGCCATCAGCAACAATGTTCTCCTTACCTTGCTTGTAACGGATGACATATGGAAATGTCTCAATGTATTCCATCCATCGAGCATGCCTTTTATTCAACTTACCTTGACCCTTGAGATGCTTCAATGATTCATGATCGGTGTGGATCACAAATTCCTTAGGCCACAGGTAGTACTGCCAAGTCTCTAATGCACGAACAAGAACATAAAGCTCTTTGTCATAAGAAGAAGGGTACTTCAGTGACGCCCCACTTAGCTTCTCACTGAAGAAGGCTATGGGCCTCCTACCCTGCATCAAAGAGGCTCCTATCTCTTGATTAGCCCCCCAATGAAACCCAACATTCTTTTTAATGACTTTAGTGAGTGGTGCATCAATGGTGCTAAAGTCTTTAACAAAACACCGATAAAAGCTAGTTAAGCCATGAAAGCTTCTTACCTCAATAATGCTCTTTGGCGTTGGCCACTCCTTGATGGCCTTGACTTTCTCTTCATCTACCTCAATACCTTTTGTACTAACAACATAACCAAGAAAAATAAAATTTTCCATGCAAAAGGTACATTTCTTGAAATTAGCATAAAACTTTTCACATCAAACACATATCTCAAATGCTCAATATGTTCTTTTAAGTCCTTATTGTACACTAGGATATCATCAAAATTCACAAATGCACGTAGGATATGGTTCATCAATCTCATGAAAGTACTGGGCGCATTTGTAAGTCCAAATGGCATAGCCATCCATTCATAAAGTCCATACTTGGTCTTAACAACAGTTTTTCATTAATCACCCTCTTTCATTCTAATTTGATGGTACCCACTTTTATGATCAATTTTACTAAAAATACATGAGCCATGCAATTCATCAAGCATATCATCTAATCTAGGAATGGGATGACGTTACTTTACCGTGATGTTGTTGACCACCCTGTAATCAACGCACATCCTCCACGTCCCATTCTTCTTTTACACTAGTAGCACTGGTACTACACACAGGCTCATGCTCTCCCTCACGTACCCCTTGCTCATCAAATCCTCAACTTGCCTCTGAAGCTCCTTTGTGTCCTCTAGATTACTCCTATTGACTGGTTGGTTTGGAATAGCAGCTCTGGGCACAAAATCAATCTGGTGCTTAATGCCTCTAATGGTTGGCAATTCATTAGGCATCTCTTCTGGGAATACATCCTCAAAATCCTGCAACAAAGAAATATCCAAACTAGGAAGAGATTGGTTAGTTTCATCAAGATTAAGATAAGACTCTTTACAGACAATAAAAATCATAGAGCGATTTGCAAAGAAAGCCCTCTTAACCTCACTATCTCTTGCATAGAAACTCACTTTTGTCTTTCCTTTTCTCTCGGAAGACTCTCCCTTTTTTCTCTCTTGGCTCCACTCTTTTTTCTTTACTCTCAGCCACCTCTCTACTCTCTTTTTCACTATTTCTTTTTTGCTCATTTTCACTCTCACTCTTTCTTTTTTGGTCACTCTCTTTTTCACTATTTATTTTTTGATCACTCCATTTTCACTCTTTCTTTTTTGATCACTCTCATTATCACTCTTTCTTTTTTGAGCAACCTCATTTTTCAATTTCAGTTGGTCCTCTTAGACCTGGCTTGGAGTTAAAGGAGCACGCTTGATTGTTTTGCCCTCCTTTACAAAGCTGTACATATTCTTGAACCCATCATGTGTCACCCTCCTATCATACTGCCATGACCTCCCCAAAAAAATATGGCCAGCATGCATAGGCACAACATCACAAAGCACCTCATCCTGATACTTCCCAATTGAAAAAGTAACTAACACTTGTCTATCCACCCTAACCTCCCCACAATCATTCAATCACTACAATTTGTATGGACGAGAGTGTTTTAAGGTAGGTAAATTCAATTTCTCAACCAAAATAGTGTTAGCCACATTAGTACAACTCCCCCCATCAATGATCATACTACATGCCGTGCTATTGATGTGGCATCTAGTATGGAAAATGTTCTTTCTCAATTGCTCTGCATCATCCACCTTAATGTGTGTATTGAGAGCACACCTGACAATAAGAGACTCACCTGTCACGGCGTATGCCACTCCATCATCATCACTAGCATTAACCAACTCGGGCACCTCATCACTTTCATCCTCATTCTCAGTCATCACCTCCCCCATTGTCACGCATAATCATCACCCACCTGTTTGGACGTTGAGAAGTGTTATGCCCTGAACGAAAACACTTAAAGCATTTAATATCTCTATTCCGTAAAGGTTGAGGTTTTACCTTGGGTTTGTTGCTAGTTCCCTCATCTTTTCCTTTAGGTGGTCAGTCTTTCTCTTTGCGTTAGCTGGATCATTCCTATCCCATTTTGATTTCCAAGTCGTGCTAGAAACCGAAGTGTACCTTGCTATCCCTTTTCTCTTTAACTGTCTTTCCACCTTCATAGCCATGTGCACCATGTCCTCTATCTCCACATAATGTTGCAATTCAACTACATTGGCTATGTCTCTATTCAAACCACTCAATAATCTAGCCATGGTGGCCTCCCAGTCCTCCTCTACATTAGCCCGAATCATCACCACCTCTATCTCCTTATGGTAATCCTCTACACTCCTAGACCCTTGTGTAAGATTTTAGAGTTTTTGGTAAAGGTCCCTATAGTAGTGGCTAGGTACAAACCTCCACCACATGAGAGCTTTCAACTCTCCCCATATCTCAATAGGCCTCTCATAATTCCTCTTCCTACTGGTCACTAATTGATCCCACCAAATAATAGCATAATCAGTGAACTCAATTACCGCCAACTTTACTTTCTTGTGCTCAAAGTAATTATGAAAATCAAACACCAACTCTATTTTTTTCTTCCACTCTAAATAAACCTCAGGGTCTATTCTACCTTGGAAAGATGGTATTTTCATTTTGATACTCCCAAGGTCTCTATCTACACCATCTTGACCCCCTAGGTTTCCCTCAAATCCTCTTTCATACCTAACTCTACGATGTCTACTCGACCTAATTTCAGATCTTAGGTCTTCCTCATCCTTGCCAGCTCCTTCATTCTCATTTTCATTTTCAACCCTAGGCTCACGTTGCCTCTTATCTCTCCCACCTCGCAAATTTCTAATCGTTTCTTCTTGATGATCAATCCTATCCCTCACTTCCCCCATCACCAAGTTCAACCTCTCAAATTGTTGTTGCATGACCTGCAACGTAAAGAATGGGTTATCGGTCATCCCCTTTGGTGATGAGCCACTTCGGTGAGACATTGTAATGTGCTGCATAAAAAGAATGTTAGTGGTAAAAAAAAAAAACCTCACACACTCCCTTACGTGTTTACACTCAAATGATGACACTCCACTTGTGTTTAACTCTTAATTGGATTTTTCCCAATAATAGTCCCACGCTCTCTTGCCTTTTACCTCAAGAGTTTTCCCACTCAAGTTCTTTAAGAACTAATTGAACTCAGTCAAGATAATGCAACCTTGTTTAATCCTAACTAGTAATTAGGCCCAAGAAACAAGAAAACAAGAACAAGAACAAGAAACACAGAAAGAATAAGAACAAGAGAAACACAGAAGGAATAAAATGACACAAGATTCAAGAAAATTATACGAATGAAAGAGTAATTATAAGACAAGATATCAACTATAATGATGTATGCAGCCCATTTGAAGATAAGGCTCAAAAAAAAAATATTTTCGGATTTTCTCCTTCGTTTTTTTTTTCTCATTTTTTTTGGATGAATTTTTTTTCCCACCAACTGATTTGATCACAAACTAAATAATAAACAGTTGACAAAACACTAGAACAATGAAATTTTCGGCAGCCACACAAAACCCTAAGAATGTCGACAACCCTTTTTTTTTTCACTCTAGAATAATGAAGCCCTAGAATCAAATATATAACAAATAAAAGGATAGAATATGACCTGATTGGAAACCTTGCTCTAATACCAAATGATGTGAACCCCAATCGACTTGCTTTGAGACCCAACAACAATATTGAAAAAATAACCAAAGAAAACCAAACTCAAGTCTATGGATGGAGAATCTGGACCCATTGAGAACTCGTTTCAAGAACCTAGATTATATTAAATTCTAGACCCATTGAAGAACCCATCTCAAGAACACAAATTACAAGGAGGAATGTCACAAATGTTGTGATTTGCCTTTGATAAGTTCAATCAAGAACAAGAGGAGTAAAATCAACTCACAATTAAAATTTAATATTGTCTAACCTCTTGAAGTGGCCGGTTACATCCTTTAAATACCCTTCCCAAAACATGATAAAACCCTAGACTAAAATTTGTGACCCTTTTTCTAAAAAATGCCCTTGAGTGAATAGTGTCGTGGGTACTGTAGCGTGAATAGTGTTGCGCTATAATAATTTCTAATATCCTAGTTCAAATAAAATAATAAGACATATGTGGGTTAAGCATCCTCAAGCCCATTTATTCTAAACTAATAATAAAAATCTTTTAAACAAATTGAAGGCCTTAACAACAACATGCCCTATCTCTAATTCATGTCTTCCACAACTTTGATCAAGTGGATCAAAACTGGTTCTCCTTCTTTCAAGCCTATCTGGAGTGTTGGGCTGTTGCTAGCTTCATCCCAGGTGGATTGCACTAATCCTTGCATTGCTTCCTTGATCTTCCTGGCTCTTGATCTTGTAATTGGCCCATCTGGAACTTGCAAAGGATCTTTAAGAGTAGGCCCACCTTGGTTCCTATCATTCCCCCTCTCCTCAAAAGGATTCAACCTTGAATCTTCACCTATATCAAAATGAGAAAGATCATAAACATTGAAGGTGGCAGAAATATTATACTCACCTGGAAGATCCACTTTATGTGCGTTGTCATTAATCCTCTCAAGAATTTGGAAAGGTCACGTGGGCCTACTCTTAAAAATCCTTTATAAGTTTCAGATGGGCCAATCATAAGATCAAGAGCCAAGAAAATCAAGGAAGCAATGCAAGGATTGGTGCAATCCACCTGGGATGAAGCTAGCAAGAGCCCAACACTCAAGATATGCTTGAAAGAAGGAGAACCAATTTTGATCCACTTGATCCAAGCTGTGGAAGAAATGACTTAGAGATAGGGCTTGTTGTTGTTAAGGCCTTCAATTTGTTTAAAAGATTTCTATTATTAGTTTAGAATATTGGCCTTGAGGATGCTTAGCCCACATATGTCTTATTATTTTATTTGAACTAGGTTTTTAGAAGTTACTATAGTGCGACACTGTTCACGCTACAGCAACCATGTCTTGCACTCGAGGGAGAGTCTAGCTCTTCTTGCTATATCCGACATAAGTTTTTCATGCAACCCGTACAACTCAGTTAGAACTAGGTCCAACATTCTTAAGTCCATGCCTCAACCACCAAGAATGGTGTTTGACCCAAAAACATGCACACACACTTACGAATGTGATGCTACTTGTGCATATGCATATGTTAATGTATAATTGCATGTCATATCACTATGCAACCAATTTTTCAATTGCAATTTCAACATCATGTTCAATATGTCATGAGCACATTTGAACAACTTCAAATCCTCAATTTAATTTATATCATCAATCATATAATTACATTCTAACATCATTACAAAGCATGCTATATTAGTTTTATTCAAATAACATACTTAATCAATTATAGGCATTTTATCAAACACCCAAACGACACAAAATCATGTAAACACATAATCATGCCCAACACATTACATTATCCATGAAATTCCTAATCAAGTAATTTCAACAGCACCCAATTCATGCAAAATTAGTTTAATACATCCTTATACTATGTTCCGTACTCTAGGTATACTAGAAATACTTTTAGACAAGAGATTTCATCTCAATTTATGCTACCTATTTCATGAGAAATCCTAGGTTGAAAATAAACCTAACTAAGAGAAAAATCCTACCTCTTGAAGCGTAATACGAGTGGCAGAAACTCCCAAGAACCCAAATCAAGCTTCAAACATTGATTTTCAAAAATCTCGATCTTGAGAATTCGGCAAAATTTGCGATTTTTGGTACGTAGACATAGCTTTTGTCATGTAGATCAATTTTAGTTCTTGGCCCGAAGCAATTAGACAAAAGGATGGCCCTAGATCGCAAGGATAAGATGAAGAAAACCTTGATTCTATCTCTCTTCTTTCCCTTTCTCTCTCTATCGGGAATCAGTTGGGTATTGGGGAGAAAAATCTAATTTTTCTCCTTTATTTATATCCTTTAATACTTGGCTCACAATGCGAAACACTTCCCGCCTTTTACTGATTTGATTTCATCTCGAGTCAATTCACTCTCTTTCTGTTTTAAGTTCAATATATTTTATTTGAACTAATTTTAAATTATTTTTTGTATTTCACAATTAAAACTCGATTGCATTTATTTTGGTCACACGACACCCAATCGTATCATAAATTGCAAAAAATTTGGTTGTCTCAAAATTCAATGAAAATTGACTAGGTAACTAGATTTCGCGAGATGAATCCAACGGTAAGATCCGTTTTGTCATCTGAGTTCTAAAAAAATTTAAATTTTCAACTCGTATCGTAGTGACTAATTATCGTTTTGCTCTTTTTCATAAAAATTTAAATTTTTTCGGGTTTTACAAGATGAGTAGGGACCACTCAAGTGACCTCAGGACTGCTTGAGCCTTCTCAGGACTACTTGAGTAGCTTGAGAATGGCTCCGAGAGCGGTCTTCATTCCCCATTCATTTAGCCTTTCCTAGTTTTATCCCTAGGTGTTCAGAGACCACTCTATCTAAAGGCAATTGAATAGAGGATGTTGCCTATTGGTTTTTAAGCCTAAAGCCAAGTAAAAAATTTTCATATTGTGTATTAAAGGGTGTTGATCAAATAGGGTCCAATTAATCATTCATCTTATTTTTTCAAAGCACAATAAAGGTTTAGAAAAATGTTTCTTTAAAGAACACCTAGGAGTAGTTAATAGATTAATCACTGATTTTATCTTACCTAATCATCCTAAGTCTAGAACTAAAACAAGAGTGCTTAGGTCTCTAAGATCATTACCTTTCTTCTAAGCATGAAAATAAATTCGGAGAGTCTTTGATGTGTCATTGTAGCTTGAACTCCTGTATTCATTTGATGTTTTTAGAATTTGAACATTGTAGCATTATGACCATGGAATAGGTTGAGATTTACAAATGTCTTCACAAAATTAGTCAATTACAAATATTATCCTAAGAAGAAGAATAGAGCATGTTCATGTTAACATCATTCAAGTGCAATGTGTAACAAATATAAGCAACACTAGCCCATTATGGTTGAGAACATATAGATTTAGCAAATTCAATACACAAAAAGTTCTCCCTTTTAGTTGGTGTTCGCAAAAGAAAATAATAAGTGGAAAAAAAAATTATGTGATTTCATGCTAATTTTCTAAATGTACTCCTCATGACTCTGTCAACAAACTCCCTCTTACTGTATTCTCATTCAACTAATCCCTAGATAGTCATCAAATTTCACCTCAATTAATCCCACAACTTCTCCTGTTTTAGCACGAAGTGCCAAATCACAGCAGTAAGAAGGAAAGAAGAGAATCATGGTATAAAAGAGAAAATAAAATCCAGCCTGATAAGGATAGACAAAATGGAATAAGTAAAGGAAAAAACATGACATATAACCTCAAGTCTAAAGCAAATATAAAACAATAAAGCATAGAGACTCCAAGTGTGTCACCTAACAAAAAAATTAAAAAAAAAGTATTTAATCATGACCAGTGATCAAGTAGAAAATCTCTCATGCTCCCATAAAGTCCAAGATCTAAGTCTCCAAAAACAACAGCTCCTCTAGGTGCATCACCTCCACCATTACCATAATGAGGAACCTTAAAGCATCATCTCGAGCCTTTGTACTCCTTGTCAACTAGGCTAGTTTCTTCTTCTTCTTCTTCTTCTCTTATGATTATGTGATGGACAGAGTGATGAAGAAGTTTGACTCATGTTAGAAGGAAGAGGCATCAAAAATGGAAGTCTTGATTCCTATCACATGTACTTTAGGGAGACCACTCGAACCATGTGTAGGCTGATCAATCGGTCCTTGAAGCTTGTCTATTTTATTGAAAGATTTGGACCACTATGCTCCTCCTCAAATCCTCCTATCAATTTAATGATCCTCCAAAACAAGCATGATTATATGTACATGATTAAATGCAACTGAATGAAAATGAATGGATGAA